TCTAAGTCGAAAAAGGGGTATAACTATGTAAAAAAGCAAATCAGAGTTATGGGACTTGTGCCAATCATCTTAGATAACCACAGAGAACAAGTGTGTGAAGTTTTAATCCATTCCCTTCAGTAGCTATGGAGATACCAGTTTACACGCAAAAACTTAACCAAGAATTTCTAAGTCGAAAAAGGGGCATAACTATGTGAAAAAGCAAAATTCAGAGTTATGGGACTTGTGCCAATCATCTTAGATAATCACAGGGAACAAGACTATTAAGTGTGTGAAGTTTCAATCCATTCCCTTCAGTAGCTATGGAGATACCAGCTTACACGAAAAAACTTAACCAAGAATTTCAAAGTCGAAAAAGGGGCATAACTATGTTAAAAAGCAAATCGGAGTTATGGGACTTGTGCCAATCATCTTAGATAATCACAGAGAACAAGACTATTTAGTTTGTGAAGTTTCATTCCCTTCAGTAGTTATGGAGCTACCAGCTTACACGCAAAAACTTAACCAAGAATTTCTAAGTCGAAAAAGGGGCATAATTATGTAAAAAGGCAAATCAGAATTATGGGACTTGTGCCAATCATTTTAGATAATCACAAACAAGTGTGTGAAGTTTCAATCCATTCTCTTCAGTAGTTATGGAGATACCAGCTTACACGCAAAAACTTAACCAAGAATTTCTGAGTCGAAAAAGGGGCATAATTATGTAAAAAAAAACAATCAGAGTTATGGGACTTGTGCCAATCATCTTAGATCATCACAGAGAACAAGTGTGTGAAGTTTCAATCCATTCCCTTCAGTAGATATGGAGATACCAGCTTACACGCAAAAACTTAACCAAAGGGACGCCGACGCCGATGAAATGGGTGACTGCATTAGCTCGATTATTCTGCGAATAGTCGAGCTAAAAACCCACAACAAGAAATAAAGGCTGTATATGCTAAACAATAACTAGAAATGTGTCATCATGCCACGGATGCCCCCGTATGCAGCCAAAATTTCAGATGTTATAATATTTAGTTCCAAATTTGTTTGCACAAATTATTTATTTCATTTTAAGTTCAAAGCCCTTAAACTTTTCAATGTTAACACAAATCATTTTCTACAATGTTCAAGGCACTGAAATTATTCAGTCTTAACCTTTTGAAAATAGCATATTGCATATTTGTAGCCAAAATAATGGCTACATACATTTCCACAAAGGTACGAGTGCTGAAACTGAAAGTTTAAAATGTTTCCAACATTCAGGAAAGATAAGTTTGTCCAAAATCATTGAACCACGACCAAATTCAAACTTAAACTGTTTATTTCTAAGATGTATCTATATTATTTTCAAAGTGAGAGGGACATAAATCTGCCAAAAAATCATCGAACCATGATCAAATTCCAACTTGACCTGCCCAAATCCATATGTCAAATTTGAGTTGAATATGTAAAACTGTTGGATAGATAATGAACAGAAACTGTAAATTTCATATTATTTTCAAAGTGAAAGGGGCATTACTCTGCCAAAAATCATTGAACCATGACTAAATTCGGACTTGGCCTGGGCATTCCAAAAACACATCCATATGTCAAATTTGAGTTGAATGTGTTGTACCGTTGGGGAGATAATAAACAGAAACTGAACATTTCATATTATTTTCAAAGTGAAAGGGGCATAACTCTGCCAAAAATCATTGAACCATGACCAAATTTGAACTTGATCTGCGCATTCCTTAGACGTATCCATATGTCAAGTTTGAGTTGATTGTGTTGTTCCACGGATTTATATTGTGTAATATAAATCCGTGGTTGTACCATGGGGGAGATAATGAACGGAAACTGAAAATGTAATATTATTTTAAAGTAAAAGGGGCATAACTCTGCCAATTATCATCGAACCATGACCAAATTCGAACTTGACTTGTATTTTCTCATGACATACCCATATGTCAAATTTGAGTTGAATGTGTTCAACTGTTACTAAGATAATGAACGGAAACTGATGATGACGGAATGACGGAACAGGGTAACACTATATGCCCCGGCCATTACATGGCGAGGGCATACACATTTTGAGCACCTGTGACCTTGACCGTGGTGTCAACCTGTCTCATTACTTCACCTAAAGTTAGAGGACCACCCAAAAAAATGTACCTGCTAGATACGACACAGGAGTGAATTAATAAAAACTTGATGAGCAAAGTGTAAAAATCTTCAATAACCATTGACCTTGATCCAAGTTAGAAGACAACCCAAAATATGTAGCTACCAAATATGAAAGGCTTTAGTCAATGAATTACAAAAACAAGTGTAAAGGGAGATAATTATAAAGTCAAGCAACATAGCACAAAACACTTCCGCTTTTGGTCTCTATGTAAAGATATATCAAAGTTGCCAAAGTTGGTTGTAACTTGCCAAGTGTTTGTCCTATGTACTAGTTAGTGCGTATATCAGTAATATGGTTAAAACCTAGCATATCTAACTTCCCGGAGAAGGTTTTTCAATACCAACTGTCAAAGCGGTAAAAATGGAAACATAAAAATGGAAATGAGCAGCACGCTTCATATTTCTCATTGCTTAATAGTGTAAACTGCATACGTTTTACATCATTTAATCCAATTGCTAACCAAGATCATGGGACTTTAAATAACATGTATTTAGAGTACATTTTAAAGTCATTTGTACAGCTATATCAAACTTCCAGGAATACATGTAGGTTACTGGGGGAAAATAAAATGCAAGTTTTGTAATTGGCCAAGAGCATGTACTTTGTACTGACAAGTGTGTAAATTATGAAGCCAATTGTATATGCTGAAGTTTAAATATACATGTACATCCAACTTGCCCGAGTAAGTTAACAATACTTCATTTCAAAATGTTAGAAAGGAAAATAACTGGGAGAAAATTGAAGCCATAGTTATAGTTTACAAAGGTAAGTGTTTATTTGACCATACAGCCATCGGTACAAGAAGGACTAGCCAACCTTGTATGGCCCATAACCCTATTGTTACAGAATGCATCTATTGTTTTAACTAATTAAAGGTCCAGAATACTAAGCTTGTTGCTACGATGGACAAAAAGTCCAATGACTATTTTTCTAAGGTGCATAAAAGTGCATAAAAAGCATTCAATGCAAGAAAAAATTTTATTGCCCCGAATAGACTATAAAACAAGAGGGCCATGATGGCCCTGAGTCGCTCACCAGAAACAACTGCTTTTAAGTGTTGGAATGTAAATATATTTCAATATTAAATTTGAACATAGAATATGTTAAACAATAATTTGAAGAAATTCCATGACCTGGGTATTTAACTTTTAGCTTAAACGGGGCTAATCAAATTTATATGAGCAAACTTGATAAAAGACTACCTAAGAATGCTACAAAGTTTGGTGATCATCTATCAATTATTTCAGTAGGAAATGATGTTCAAAGGTTTTTTTCTATTTCCAGCTTTAGTGGCCCCTAAAAGGGGCTAATCAAATTAATTTAAGCAAACTTGATAAAAGAGTACCCAAGAATGCTACAGACAAAGTTTGGTGATCATCCATCAATTGGTTCTGAAGTAGATGTTTAAAGGTTTTTTTCTATTTTTAGCTTTAGCGGCCCCTAAAAGGCGCCAATCAAATTAATATTAGCAAACTTGATAAAAGATTACCCAAAAATGCTACAGACAAAGTTTGGTGATCATCCATTAATTAGTTCTGTATGAGAAGATGTTTTAACGTATTCCTATTTTTAATTATAGCAGCCCCTTAAAGGGGCTAATCAAAATAATATAAGCAAACTTTATAAAAGACTACCCAATAATGCTACAAAGTTTGGTGATCGTCCATCAATTAGTTCTCTAGAAATAGACATTGAACAGTATTTCTATTTTTAGCTATAGAGACCCCTAAAAAGGGGCTAATCAAATTAATATGAGCAAACTTGATAAAAGACTACCAAAGAATGCTACAGACAAAGTTTGGTGATCTTCCATCAATTAATTCTGTAGAAATCGACATTTTTTTGATGATCATCCATCAATTAGTTCTGTAGATGTTTAAAGTGTTTTCTATTTTTAGTCCTAGAGACCCCTAAAAGGGGCCAACCAAAATAATATTAGCAAACTAGATAAAAGATTACCAAATAATGCTACAGACAAAGTTTGGTGAGCATCCATCAATTAATTCTCTAGAAATAGACATTTAACAGTATTTCTATTTTTAGCTTTAGCGACCACCCCTTATAGGGGCCAATCAAATCAATATGAGCAAACTTGATAAAACACTACTCAAAAATGCTACAAAGTATGGTGATCATCCATCAATTGGTTCTGTAGAAGATGTTTAAAGTTTTTTCTATTTTTAGTCCTAGAGACCCCTAAAAGGGGCAAATTAAAACAATATGACAAAACTTGATAAAAGACTACCTAAGAATACTACAGACAAAGTTTGGTGATCATCAATCAATTAGTTCTGTAGAAATAGATGTTTAAAGGTTTTTTCTATTTTAAGCTTTAGTGGCCCCTAAAAGGGGCCAATCAAATTCATATGAGCAAACTTGATTAAAGACTACCCAAGTGCTACAGACAAAGTTTGGTGATCATCCACCAATTAGTTCTGTAGAAGAAAATGTTTAAAGGTTTTTCTATTTTTAGCCCTAGAGACCCCTAAAAGGGGCCAATCAAATTAATATCAGCAAACTTGATAAAAGACTACCCAAGAATGCTACAGACAAAGTTTGGTGATCATCCATCCATTAGTTCTGTAGAAGAAGATGTTTAAAGTTTTTTCTATTTTTAGCTCTGCTGACCCCTAAAAGGGGCCAACTGGAATGACATGAGCAAATTCAAGTGTGACTGTCACAAGGATACTACTGACCAAATTTGAAGTAAATCTGCTTAGTAGTTTCAGAGAAGAAGACGATTGTTGAAGCATGACGACTGACGCCGGAGCATCCCCCTTTGATACTAATAGCTCACCCTGAGCCTTCGGGTCTTGTGAGCTTACAAGTACAATAGACTATAAAACAAGTATTTTCTCATCTGTTTTATTAAAATAGTTACAAAGTTCCCTGATAAAGTAAGCACACAGAGTGTGTAATGAATATAAATGCATGAACATTATACACATATACATCCATAAACATGGTACAAAAGCATGAGTATGACACAGAGTATGAATGCATAAACTCATAATAACATAATTGCATGAACACATAAAATAGGAATAATGTTATGTAATAAAAAGAACACATAATAAGTAAAGTAAAAATTTGCATGAACACATATAGAATGTAAGCACTTAAGCACATAATGACATATAATGACTGGCTCTATGCATTAACATATAATGAAAATAACACGCTTCTGAGTTACTGTTTTTCATATTGAAACTCCACAAATATTTAGCACCATCGTAAAATAATTTGACATATTTTTAAAGTTGAAATGTTCATCACAATCACTTATGGTGATAAACACATAAAACAGTTTTCTCCTCCATATATACACAACATAGTACAAGAAGATATAATTAAGATCGCAAAACGAAATGCTGTATGGTAAAATTTCATAACATTGAAAATCTGATTAGTGTTCCTGGATAACTGAACAATATATATCATATATTTTTTGCAATTGACCAACTACTTATGTAACATGATTTCTGAACCAGCAGTGAGAGACAAATAACGACAGTAAGACTCAATGTCCATTTAAAAGACCAGCTGAAACTAGTGACAGGATTTTGTCAGAAATACTATCAAAAACAAAACAATCACAACAATATGCACCAGTGCATTTGATAACAATGATAATATATATCCTTTTTGTAAGATTGAAAACATTATATTAAACATTGTTTGTTTTTGGGTTTTACCTCACATCGACACAGTATAGGTCATATCGCGACGTTCCAGCTTTACTGGTGGAGGAAGACCTCAGGTGCCCTTCCGTGCATTATTTCGACCATCGACGTTTCGTAAGCTAGCTGGATAGCTTCCTCACGTGAAAGAATCCAAAGTCCCTGTCGGGATTCGAACCCACAGCGGTGAGGGGAAAGTGATTTGAAGTCAACGACCTTAACCACTGGGCCACGGACGCCCCTATATTTAACATTGAATCTGTGCCTAACTAGCTTGTTTTAAAATTGACTATTTTACAAAATAACCAAACTTCTGCCTATAGCAGATCTTTGTCTGTTGGGTTTCAAGTCAGACAGACACTACAAAGGTCATACAACAACCATCCAGCTTTACTGGTGGAGAGTCTCACCTCAAGTGTCCCTTCCTTGCATTATTGAAAGCATGAAATGAATGGCACCCCAGTATAATAACCCACCTAAAGTAGATCTAGAGGACAGTGTTAATTTTCTTTTAATAAAAACATACAGGATAATTTGTGTAAGATGTAAAAAAGGTTCTAAATGTTCTGTATTCTGCTATTTGTTTATTGTTTTCAACAGGAAAAAAGTAGTTCATGTATGTATGAAAATCTTTAGAACAGGAAATCTTTCACCTGTATTTACAAGACGTTACAGATAATAAAAGAATTAAAACAAGAGCCATGTCAACATGGCCATCCCTCACCGAATGTGTTTGCTCATTGGAAGAATGTATATGTAATAGAGCAGAATAATTCAATTTTAAGAGGTCTTTTGGTAATGAAAACTGATGGCTGAAGTGATTACAGATTTGAAACCTATGTGAATACTGATGGCTGAAAATGACAAAGGGCAATAACTCAAAAGTATTGCAGGGTAGGTTATAATTCTTGTTTGCTGCACTCCTCCTCAATGAGACCTATCCACCTATGAAGTTTCATGTTGATATCTCAAAGGTTTTTTAGTTACGCTCTGGACAAAAATTAAGCAATAAAAATAACAAAGGGCAATAACTCAAAACTATATCATTCTTGTGTGCTGCACTCCTCCTCAATGAGATCTTTCCCCCTATGAAGTTTCATGTTGACATCTCAAAGACTCGTCAGACCAAACAAATAATGGTAGCGAAATTTCAGAGCCTAATGCTGTTAATTGCAAATGCCTAAAGTAGTCCACTTTTTTGAAGCGGTTACTTCCCTTTATATGTACACTAACGACGAAAAATTCAGGTGAGATCAATGCGTAAAAGATTGTCAAATGATAGGCGCATTAATTTTCAAGCAAAGTAGTTTCCGAATGGTCGAAGATTTCTAATATTGTTTCATTCTTTATAGATATACATGCTTACAGTAAGCTCCATGATTATTTACATCTGTGTTAAACAACAGGTTTAGCATGTTACAAACCCTAATTTAGAATAATATGGTTTTCTTCATGCCATTAACGTAAACCTTCACCGTGGCCGAGAGTTTTGCACGCTCGCTTATGAATCGAGAGGTCTAGAGTTCAAATCCTAGTTGAGGCAACTTTTTTTTTTTAATTTTAAAGTCAAATAAACATTGAATTGCATTGTATTGTTTGTAACAAATACAAGTTCCCTGATGCTAAGCTACTTACTCAGATGGACAAATAGTCCAATGACTATTTCTAAGGTGCATAAAAATCGTTCAATGTATGACAAGAACAAAGAAAGCACAGTAATGTGTAATGAATATAAATGCATGGACATATACACATATACATCCATAGACATGATACGATTACTAAAACACAGATTATGAACACATTAACTCATAATTACACGATTGCATGAACACATAAAATAGGAATACATGAACACATACAAAATGTTATAAAAAGAACACATAATAAGTAAAAATTTGCATGAACACATAAAGAATGTAAGTTCTTGACCACATGATGACATAAAATGAATGGCTCATATGCATGAACATATTATGAACAAAGCACTTTCTCACTTACTGTTTTTCATATTGAACTCCACAACAACTTAGCACCATCATAAAATAACTGACATATCTTTAAAGTTGAAATGTTCATCACAATCACTTGCAAGTTATTAAAGTATATACACTGTGTAATAACACATAATAAAGATTTGAAAAAAATTCTGTATGGTAAAATTTCATAACATTGAAAATCTGATTAGTGTCCTTGGATAACTGAACAATATATACAAGTTTTTTGCAATTGACCAACTACTAATGTAACATGATTTCTGCACCAGCAGTGAGAGATAAATAACAACAGTTAAACTCAATGTCCATTTAAAAGACCAGCTGAAACTAGTGACAGGATGTTGTCAGAAATACTATCAAACCAAAAAATCTCAACAATATGCACCGATAACAATAATAATATACACATGTATATCATTTTGTAAGATCAAAAGCACTACATTTAACACTGAATATGTGCCTAACTAGCTTGTTTTTAAATTGACTATTTTACTCATGTTTTAAGATTTTCATTAAACAAACAACATTTGACCTACAGCAGATTTTTGTCTGTTTGGTTTTAAGTTAGACAGACACTGTAAATGTCATACAACAACCTTCCAGCTTTACTGGTGGAGAAACTGACCTCAAGTGTCCCTTCCTTGCCTTGTTGAAAGCATGAAATGAATGGCACCATAGTATAATAACCCACCTAAAGTAGTTCTAGAGGATAGTGTAAATAGTTCTTTTAATAAAATCATACAAGAGAATTTATGCATGATGTAAAAAAGGTTCTAAATATTCTGTATTATGTGATTTGTTTATTGTTTTCAACAGGAATAAGGTTGTTTCTAAAAAACTCTTTACTCCAGGAAATCTTTTACCCGTATTTACAAGACTTTACAGATAATGACAGAATTAAAAGAAGCAGCACTTTGTATGTATACAGCATGTCTAAAAGGTAGCATAATCTATACTGATAAACAACCTACCTGACAACTATAATGTTTATTTTTACTGTTAACCTAATGTATTTATGTAATGTGCCAAGTGAAGATATATGACAATCAACTTGATGATACAAAATTGGCTGCCTTAACATCACAAGTATTGTAACAGATCTATACTCTTAACAAAACAAGAGTGTGTCAGCCTGAAAATAGTCCAGCAAAACTGAACAGTATAGTCTCTAGACACACCCAAACTGAAATCTACTTCCTTTTTGCCATAAATCTTTCATTTCATATCACATCACATAACCTCACTTATTTATTTTCTTTTGTCTTTTTTATTTTCCTCTTTTGTTTTAGTCTTGATTTTCTTTTTCAACTCGTCTAAATCCTCTTCTGTTTTTTTCTTTTTCTGTTGCCGTGGAGGTGGCCTTGACCTTTGATTTGACCTTGCTGGTCCTGAGGCCAAGTTCTGTGAACCTGAATAACTAGCACTGTTTATCATTCCTTCAGTAAGTAATGATTGTTTCCTAGAAATCTCCTGTTTTCTGTTCCACAAAAGAATATGAAACCCTGAAAGCATTAAGAAAAAATATGACATGTGCAAGAATGCATAAATACTAATAACAGAATATACTGAATACATACCAACAAATAATGTAACAACTATTGTAATAGAGGATACCAACAAGAGGGCTATGATGGCCCTGGAATGCTCACCTGAGATACACTGCTAGAAAAAAATCACAAATTCAGCTGTCTATATAGCTAGATGAGAAGTTGAACATGAAGTTGCATCAACCAAGTAAAGTGTTATGCTGGTGCAGGTGGACAAAAAAAAAATAGGTAATCCCCTACTTTTCTCTGTATTGTGAGGCTAAAACTACCTTCAATGCTAATGCAGAACCAGCTTTTACCAAGACTTTTTTCATATGACAAAGCTACAAGTCTTTAAAACTCCAAGAGTTATGGGTCTTAAACAGTGACCTACAATTATGACCTTACAGATATGCACACAGTGTAAGATAATGCCTACAGAGACACCTGTTATATGCATGCAAACTTCTAACCTAATGTTGCACTCAAGCACGGGACTGGATGAGTTGCCCCTCTTTTTTTGAATACTCGAGTTAAAAGTTTTATAACAATAATAACCAACAGAAAGCAGGAAATCACATTAGTTGGTATACAGTTTTGCTTACAACATGACCAAGGCCATATGTCATTTGACACTTGACAAGTTAAACAAGTGTTCAAAGCAGGCTATTTTCTAAATTCAGGACACTTTTGTGTTCAGATAGGTATCTTATCAAGGTTAGGATTTACTCAAATTCACTATCATCGTAATAGACTGTAATCTTGATACAGAATAAGACTTCATATTCAGTTGTCTAAAAGATAGAAAAGCTTCAAATCAAGTCATCTCTAGTTTGACTTATCATAGTCATTTCTTAATGCAAGGCTGACATGACAGATTAAACTTAACTATTTCTAATTTTTTCAGAGAAAACACTTACCCATCCCAGAAGCTAAAGCATCCCCTTGGGTGTTGAACTTGTTTATCTAAAAGTAGAAATCATTACATTTATGTACTAAATAAACAAAACCACATATGGTACAAGAGAAGAAAAGCTGTAAAAAATCTTTTTTAATAGAATAACAAAATTGATTCAGCATAGTTCAAAAACACTTTTTGGTATAAAATTAGTTTCTAAATCGTGTTGACTGAATTTCATATTGCTGTAAACAAGATCCTTTTATATCTTATTTATCATGAACAATATGACACTCAAATGTGCCAGGTTCCATTCTTACATAATATAAAATAGGTTCCATTCTTACATAATATAAAATAATCTTGTTAAGATCCATCAATAAAGGATGATAGTTGATATACTTAGTTCAGCTTGAAACAAACAAGATAGCTGTGACCTAGTGGTTTATGTGCCTGCCTCACAACTTCAAGATTTTAGGTTTGAGCATTACAAGGGCCCCACAGTGTTTCCTTATATACATATCAGTTCTGTAGTTCATGGCAGCGGACTTAAGAGAGGTTTGAACATTTTATCACAATTATGCATAAATAAATGTCTTTATATGTAACACTTTCCTGGAACATTTAAAGTTATAGAATGTCAAGAATGAATTTTGATATAAAATAAAGCTGAAATAGACTGTACTCACTGGACACAAACCATCGGTTCCTTGGCTGTAAAGTTGTGATACAATTTTACCCGTGTCTGCGTCAAAGATGTCTAAAGTTCGTAACTCAAAACCTGTGCTACCTTCAACATTTTTATCTGGATATCGTCCACATACTATCAAGTCCTGCAGGGGATGCCAGGTTGCCTGAAATATGTTCATGAAAAATTCATAGAGAAGCCTTTCCTTGTATAAGCTTATATATAAAGTAATAAAAAAAAATCATTTTTTTGATGAATGATATAACATGCTTCTAAAATCAAAGCTATTGGACCATGAGAAAAAGACATGGCTATTCCAAAAATAACGCTTAAACCCATTACATCTTTGTTTTTCCCAGATCAGAATTTAAACTGCTTACTATTACCAAAAGTAGTCATGAAATATAAAATAATTCATTTCATTGGTACTTTAAGGCTGTAGAAATTACACTAAACTACCCATTATACTTTTGTATGTTTTAATAAGGATAGACTTTTGGCATCCTTGTAAATCTAATAGGAATGCTTATGTCCACCTTGTAAATGTGCAAAACAGCTTTTGACCAACCTCAAAATTTGATAGGCCATTTATCAACAGGCCATTTATCAACTTCATATTTTTTCAATGGGAAGGCTTTGTCCCAGAAAGCTTTTAGCCGTCTCCCAAAGCAATGAAGATATTTTTATTGCTGTAAACTTAATTTATTTATTGCTACAACTAAATTTAAGTTGACATACTTGGCCAAACAGATTGTGGATGTGACGAAGAACACAAGTATAGCTCATCCCCCATCCCCCTTGTGCATGTAGTTTAATTATACAAATACCTTAAAAGGACTGATATGCTGGAAGAACCTATGTGGATGTTCAATGGTCGTCTCCAGGTGCCAGAATGGTGCCCTGTATACACGTATCTGTTTACTTTGATCAGTTGTGAGCAGACGGCTACCATCAGTGTGATTGAAATATGCTGTAAGTAGACAAATATAACTAGCATTAATCCTCAACCTGTTCGAACCATTACTGATCAGTATAGGGCCAGGCTCTACAGTTAGCTAAGTAATTCAACATCTCTCAAATTGAAAAAGGACAGTTCTAAAATGGTATGTGCAAAGACTAAAGTGACCTTGATCTTTGACCTCAAAATCAATAGGGTTCATCAACTAGTCATAATCAACCTAGGAATGTTGCATAATAAGTGTACTGAGAATAAGAGACAAGAGGGCCATCATGGCCCTGAGGTCGCTCACCTGTATATAGCCCCCCCCCCCCCGGGCCAATTTTTACCCAAGGGCTTTTATTTGAACAGACTTGGTACTGGCACCCATAAGAAGATGTTTCATGCTAAACATCTAAGTTCTAGCTCATTGGGTTTTTTAAAAGAAGATTTTTTAAGTTTTTACTATACACATATAGTTAAAAACAATGACACCCGTGGGGCAGGGCCAGTGTTGACCCCAGGGCTTTTATTTGAACACACTTTGTAGATATTTACTTAAAGATGTTTCATGCTTAATATCTAAACTCTAGCTATTTGGGTTTTTTCAAAGAAGTTTTTGCTATACACATATAAGGAAAATCAATGACCCCCCCGGGGCGGGGCCAGTTTTGACCCCAGGGCTTTTATTTGCACAAACTTGGTAGACACCCATTTGAACATGTTTCATGCTAAATATCTTAGCTCTAGCTCTTTGAGTTCTTTAAAAGAAGATTTTTTAAGTTTATACTATATGCATATAGGGAAAATCAATGACCCCCTGGGGCGGGGCCAATTTTGACCCCAGGGCTTTTATTTGAACAAACTTGGTAGACACTCATTAGAAGATGTTTCATGCTAAATATCGTAGCTCAACCTCTTTGGGTTCTTTAAAAGAAGATTTTTTTTTAAGTTTTTACTATATGCATATAGGGAAAATCAATGACCCCCTGGGGCAGGCCAATTTTGTCCACAGGGCTTTGATTTGAACAAACTTGGTAGACATTCACTAGAAGATGTTTCATGCCAAATATCTAAGCTCTAGTTCTTATGGTTCTTTAAAAGAAGATTTTTTAAGTTTTTACTATATGCAGTATAGGGAAAATCAATGACCCCCGGGCTTTTATTTGAACAAACATGGTAGATCACT